ATATAAAAAAATAAACAAAATATAATGTTAACTGAAGAATAAAAAACACTGAATGAAAAACCACTAACAATGGTTGAAACATACATAGACGTGAAAAATGCTAGGCTAAAAATTATCGGTATAGACCGCAGCAAAACTATAATAGGGTCTACTACTCAAAACGTCTTTAATTATTTTCTGTAATGATCAGTATCAATATTTGTCTCTTAAGAGTAACTTGGCAGATGGTTTTATATCTTCACAGCATTGTAAAATGAGTAGTCCTTGACCAGAGAGTTGCAAGGGATAGGTAATTTCAAATTGTTTTGTATGCTCTGGCGAATTGTTAATAATAATATACTTTATTGTCATTGAGAATAAATCTTGTGGACAAAGCTTGTCCACATATTGAATATACGAATATACGTATAGAAATATGAAATGTGAATATAAAAACACCTACAAAAAAGTTAAGTTAGAACATACACTATAGTACAACGTCGAAATTTTGTATCAACATGGTTGTGAACAGATTTGCTTAACGATATTATCAACACCTATATTCAGTGTCATCCCCAAAGTATGCACCATTAGGTTAGATTAATATGGGGCTTCTGTGCTGAACAGCCACTACACTGCGACCTTTGCAGATCTATTGTGTGTGCCCTCATATATGCTAGAGTTCCTTATCTAGGCCCGTCCTTGTAACTAGACTTCATAGGCCAGACATCAAATTCCCCATATATTGAGAGGGTTGTGGTTTTTCCTTTCCTAATGTTGCAAACCTTATCCTCGACAGACCTTAGCAATAGCATAGTATGTGTACGGAGGTTTCCTCATCCTCTTGGCAAAGCCTGCATAGAGTCCGATGTTGTTCATGTGTTTGTTGAGTCTACAGTGTCCCGTCAATAGCCCGACCAGAACTCTAGTTGATCGCCTTTTTAGACTAAATAGGTACTCCTTGAATTTTGGCGATGGCTCTTCAATGAACTCTTTGGCCTGTCTCATACCCGGCGCCATATTCCACCATTTTTGAGATTGTTTATCCTTCCAGTTGTTGTTACTAGTTTTTCGCAGCGCTTTTGCTGTACCACAAAAGGGTTCTGGGCCAATGAGGGAGCGTCCTGCTCCCTCAGGCTAATGACAGTCTGTTTTGACTACCTAGTTCTTGTAGCTTTTCTAGGCAGTTCCAGACCAGTTTGGAATTGACCTGCATGGAGCTAATTGCTTTTATAGTTGCTTGGCTATCAGAGTTAATTGCAATAGTCTTTTCCTCGAACTCTTACCTTAATAACTATTCTGCTGTTTCTGCCTGGAATATCGTCACTTTTTGAACTAAGCTTAGTGAGACTTTTGTCTTTGGTTTAGTTATATAAATTCCTGCTTCACCTTCTTCAGTTTTTAAGCCGTCTGCTCTGCATTTATTGGAGGTCCTTCCTTCCATGCCTCTCTGCCTGTTATAATTGATACGAAGTTTTTCCGAAGCTATACTGGGGAAGCATCTCATCCGATGGCATTCCCATTATGGGGTCGTTTTCCAAATCTTTGTTTAGCTCGTTGTATGTCTTACCGTGCAGCATGCTTATAGATATTTGCCCTCTGGTCAGTCTACTGATGACTGACCTGGCTTCCCCTTGAATATATAGATGTAGTGGCGTTAGGTTCAGCAAGACTTCTAATGCGGCTGTTGGGGTGGTTCTCATAGCGCCCGTGGCAGCCAGGCAAGCTTGCCTTTGAATGCCACTCAGCCTTTGAATCGCCCCAGCCTGCTGAGTCTTTGGCCACCATGCCACCGAGCCATATGCTATCATGGGTAAGATAACCCTGGTATATAGCCATATGGTCATTTTTGATTGTTAACCCCAATTTTTTCCGCACATCCTTATACACAAGTTGAAGGCTATCGTGCTTTTTTGGATTATTTTTTGTAGATGTTGATTCCATGTCAACTTGTGGTCAAAAATGACTCCCAAGTATTTTGCCTCTTGTGCAATTGTAATTTCTACCCCGTGCAGTATTGGTGGCTTCAGCCCTCTAAGTACTTTCTTTTTTGTAAAGACTACTAGTGTAATTTTGAGAGGATTTACTGTTAGTTCCTCCTGCTGGCACCATTTATTTATTATGCTATGTGTATGCTCCAAAACAGTTCTTGCGAAATTTGCCTCTTTCGATAATCGCGAGGTCATCGGCATATCCTAAACAATGCATGCCTTTGGATTTTAGCCTCATTAGTAGTTCGTTCACTAGGATAGCCCACAGTAGGGGCGATAATACCCCTCCTTGTGGACACCCCTTGCCAGCTCTAGCTGTGACTGTGGTTTCGCCTATGGATGATATGATTACCCTTGTTTCCAGACTGGCATTTATCCACTTACACAGGAGGGTTGGAACCCCTTTTCTATCTAGAGCTTTGGTGATGGACTCTGCGGATGCGTCATTAAAGGCACCCTCGATGTCGATGAATGTTGCCATGGCTATCTCCTTATCCTCTAAGGATTTTGTTAGTAGCCTGTTAAGATGATTTAATGCCAGATCTGTTGACTTACCTGGCTGGTACGCATATTGGCGTTCGTTGAAAAGGTTTATTGATAATACCTCGTCTCTTATGTATCTTCTATCAGTCTTTCCAGTGTTTTAAGCAGGAAAGACACTAGACTAATTGGTCGGTATGACTTGGGCGTCATATCGTTTACCTTCCTATCTTGGGTATGTTGATGACTCTGCCTTTTTGCCACTCATTCGGTATGTATCTCATAGCTATGCAAGCCTTATATATTCTACATAAGTATGGAATCAGTGATTCCTGCCCCTTTTGAAGTAGGATGGGGTATATTTCGTCCTCTCCTGGAGATTTATATGGCTGGAATTTACTTATAGCCCACCTAATTCTATTTGGCCTTATCTCAGTAGCTAGTCTCCAGTCCGAGGCATTCGGCCTATTCGGCTTGCTTTGCGGACAGTACACTGCCACTGGGCATTTTAGAATTGTTGCGGCCGGAACAATTCAAAAAGGCCATGCACCATATGGGAAACTTCTTTATGAAGGGTTTTTCGACAAAATGTTATTCCTGATGAAAGTTCGTGCATCCACTAAAACTAAACATGTACTAACAAAATACAGTAAAATACACGTAATATACGAGGAGCCTTCAAATATTTGATTTTGAGTCTAGGGTAAAGTACTCTTATTTTAAAAAATTTTGGAAAATGTTATTTAAAAAAGTTGTTCAGCATTAAAAAATACATCCAGATTTGAAGTTATCGCCTTCTGAGTGAAGTTGATAGTTTTTGGTGCAAAGTTATTTTTATTTTTTGTAGTTGACCAAAATAATTCTCCAATATCGTCGTGTCATCAGCGAAAAGAGTGAAATTTCCAGAAATGCTCAAATTTGCAATGCCGTTGAGATATAAAAAGAATAAGTTGGATCCTAAAACTGTTCCTTCTGGAACACCTCACAAAATTTCCTTTTTTTTTGGGAAATTTTGTTGTTTTTAACATTTTATTCCTTTCTGAAAGATAAGATATAAACCTTTGAGCATCATTTCTCTGCAGCCGTATTGGTGAATTTTTCTTAGCAAGATCTAATGATCTACGCAATCAAACGTCTTCGAAAGATCACAAAAGACCACAGCTGCTACATTATCCGAATTGAATTTTGAATAAATATCATAAAGAAATCAACAGATGGCATCGTGCGTATTTTTATTGCTTTGAAAACCAAACTGGCTTTCATTTAAGATATTGTGGAAGCCAGTTTGGTTTTCAACGCAATGGGTGGTAACCTCAAGTTTCACCAGATGTTTTTTAATGAAACACACTGTCTCCAGAATAAGAAAGAGCTACAGCCGTCAAAATGTTTTATCTATAAACAATTGCCTGCATGAGTCACGTGGTTTAGTATCGTATAGGTCTCTTTTGTAGAGAGTATAAACTCCCAGTTTTCTAACAATAACTCTCACTCCATAACAGCCGGTGGAAATGTTGTTTTCCATCTCTCTGATGTGAGTGTCAAATTTCAGTCCACCGTCTATATATACAGTCCCAGAAATTTAGTACACTCTCTGTTCTCAAAGATATTGCTCGCTACAGATGAATTCCGAAGTGAACATTCGAAAGTCATAACATTGGTTGAAGAAATATCAAGAGAGAGTTGATTGGAATCACACCAAAATTTTATTTTTTGTATATCTTGAGCTATTGTCTCATTGAGTATATTTATATCTTCACCATGTCACAGCATAGTGATATCGTCAGCGAAAGGAGTGAATGTTCCAGATATACTAATGTTCACCGAATCGTTAATGGACAACAGGAACAATATGGGACAGAGAACCGATCCCTGTGGTACACCAGTATTTATTTCAATACAGTTCAGTTGTTTTTACAATCTGACTGGGTCCATTGAAATACGACTCAAACCACCGTAGTGTTAACCCTCTACATATGTAGATATCCACGCAGTCAAAGGTTTTCGTGAGGTCACAAAACACTGTAGCAGCATCTCCAGCGTTCATATTGGAATACACCTCGAACAGAAAAGATAATTCTGCATCATGTGTGCTCTTATTGCTCTGAAATGCAAATTGATTTTTACTTATAATGTTATGGCGAAGGGGAAATTCATTGAGTCTTTTCTCAACTAGTTTTTCAATTATTTCTGCAATAGTAGGGATGAGAGATATTGGTCGATAATTTGAAGTTCAAAAGGAAGTTGAGAAATTGGTTTTATGAAAAAGTTTCAGGACGTTTGTTGTTTGTTTATTCATGAAAAAAATTATATGACTGGTTGATTTTTCTGATTGTTTCGGTAGCTTTTTGCTTCAATTTGAAATCGTAGAGAGGCGAAAAGAGGCAAAAAAATTGAAGTTTGGTAAAAATGATAGCATCAATGTAAAAGTACAAAATCATCTATCAATTGATATTTACCACGACATAAATATTCATCAATACGGATAAAACTTTCGAAACAACTTATTATTTGATAAATTACCTCTATTAACACACTCTTTATTTATTACAGCATTATTGTTGACGATGTTGACGCGAAAGGACTCAACTCTAGCAAGGACAAGAATGAAGTGACTTCGAAGGATGAAGGAGCGCAAGAAAGAATAAGGTTTTCTCCGGAAATTCAGAAACAGATCCAATGGACCCAAAATCCCTATCCCAAACACGTTTTAATGGCAGCCTCTGCAAAAATCATGGTGAGATTTTCAATAATATTTGACACATTCCTTGAACCATTAGACTTTAGACATTCGGAACTAAACTTTTGTTCAAAAATCACCTCTAGATCCTCGATATCATTACATCTCTCCAGGTCTTAATTTCAAATAGCGTAAGAAAATCAATAAAGTTTCATTTTGAGGTATGAATTGTAATCTTCTACTTTCCTACATTGAGTTTCAATTCATTATTGCTATACCGAGTAACAACAAATATCAACTGATCCACATATTGTTAATCACCAAAAATAACTTCAAATCATCTGCAAAACATAGCCATTCACATTTTAAACTTCCACATAGACTATCAATGATTACTAAAATCAGAATAGGGCCTAGGCAGGAGCTCTGAGGAACATTAGAGGTGGCTAAACATGTTCTTTACTTATGATCATTGTAAAAAACGAGCTGCTTTCCTTTTGATAAATACATAGAAATGTATGAGTAAGATACCATAATTTCAGTAAACAACTTCAAGAAGTCTGTATATGTTCTACTCACTTGACCATTGTCATTTAATGAAGATGAATTGCGTAATAGTAACTAGATTTGTCACAGTAGAGGGATTAGTAATAAAGCCATGCTGATGTTGTGATCGTTTGCCAGTGATATGGCCACTTAAATCACCTGATTTCATCCACTCGGATTTCTTTGTGTACAGATGTCTGAAGTCTGAAGTTTATCTTACCAAGCCTACAATTATAGGAGAGTTGAGACAAAAACTGCACAACTCGAATTTCACAATTTCTAATTCTCAATTTCCTTCTTACAGAATGATGCAGCTCGACGAAAAAAGAACTTTTCCAAATTGATTGATGAACACGAAGCTCTAGTCAAGTACGTCGCCAAAATGGAAGAAGAAAACAGTTCCCTGAGCTCAATATGCAAAATGACGCAGTCAACAATTGTGACATAGTTCGAGAATTGTTCTGGAATTGTGCATTGTACATGGTTGACTGAAACTGTTCATGTTTGACATGTTTGGAAGGATGATTGTACCGTCTATGGTATAAAAGATTTGAAAAATATTGTGCTTTCTGTGACTTCAGTTTTGTACAGCATGATTTAGCGATTCAATAATAATAACAACCTGTGGGTATAATCATCCTCCATTTTCTCACTCTTAGGGTAGGCTTTGTCAACAACTAGAGATAAGTATATTTATTTTTGAAATCATTCTTGCCAGCAATGCTCAATTATTGGCATTTCAAAGACTGCTCGTCATATGATGTGATTCAGAAATTCGAAATTCAGTTTCTTCAAAAACCATTTTCACAATCAGTTCTTGATTCTTTATTAGATAAATGATGAAACTATGATTTAATTGGCATCCAGATTAGTCGAACTTTTGTATTGATTGATTTTGAGTAACATGCACTGTTTGATGTATCAGGTCATCAAGTGGATATATTATTGATTTGTTTACATGAATAGCGACTTTACTATGTGTTTAGATCCTTAAGTTCAATTTGGAACATCAGTTTCATGTTATATTTTCGAGGGCGAACAATAAATATTTTAATAACACTAATGTTCATTTCTTTCATTTTCTTTGTGAATGTCGAATTCACAATATTATTGTCAAGTTCTAAAAATGTATCTAAAATTTTCTGATTATGGTTTTATTTTTAGTAATTGCGAGCAGATTCAGGAATGGATTCTCACGTTTCGCAACCGTCTGTAAAATTGTTTTTTTCTACTTCCTGTTAACCATCTATTTTACTCGTTTCAGCCTCAAGCATGATTATTTTTCAAATCTATAAGTTTTCTTGTAAAATGTGGTCGGAGAGACGTATACTGAAAATTATTTTGAGATTCCAAGAATTATTTTTGAAACCAGAACCTGAAATTAATCAATTAATACACGTTTTATTACCACTTTAGCACAACGCACAAAAGAGTCTGAGTTATAGATCATGGACAATATAATTAAATGTTTTCTTAGGAAGTATTGTCTACTCTTGTGGAAAGGAATACATCTGTATCAATCGATCAGAAACAAAGTGATCAATATTGCACATCAAAATCAGGTGTGTCAGAAATAAATTTACGAAACTCTGGAAACACTAGTTATGGAAAACTATCATTCCTGAATATAATTATATCGACTAAAAATATATTTCTTACACAAGTTCAGCAATAAGAAAATAATACACCAATATCTCCTGAAGAATGGAGTTGGCATTAATGTAACTGATTTGAATCAAACGAAAATACGTAATCTAAAGCTGTTTTCTAAAAATTTTTCTTTGGAGGGATATATTCTTCAGATGAATGATCGATTGAAGTATAACTTCGATTCATCTCAGATACTCTGGTTCCTTCATTATTATACAAATCAGAAACGGCGTTAACACTGCCATTGGTGTTAATTGTAGATAGATATCGTACATATCTATTACTGGAGCTTTTTCCCAACACCAAATCGTTATTTTCAACACCTCGACACGTGTTTCGATCACCAAGTGATCATCTTCAGAGAGGAAGATTAAAACTAGGAACTAGTGCGAGCTAATCCTATTTATGCTATAAAGGTAACCCATACAGGTAAACCATCCAGGCGTACCTACCATACAGGTATACCAACCTAAATTATACTGAGGTATTGCAAGGTCTGTGGAATTGGGACGCTAGAAAATGAGGGACTAACATCAAAAGAAACCAAAATCTCACCTTCCTGCAGAACCACGTTTTTTGTATGTTGTATGAACTCTAAATAGTTTCTTATACTAAAACTTGGTTCCGCAATAGACAAGGTTTCAAATTCCTTAGTGAGCCACTTTGCTATTTGGTAGGTAGAAGCTCCAATAGCTGACACGATGGGACGCATTGATTTTCCCAGTTTGTGGATTTTTAGTAGGCAATATAGTTTCGACACCGTTGGGTTGGAAACTTGTAACTTCCGTTTCAGTTGAGGGTTAAGTATGTTGTCGCATTTCTTAAGGACGTCTGTTACTTCGGCAATCATCTTTGGTAACGGGTTCCTGGACAATTTCGATGGAAAGATTTTCAAGGAACTAGGTATGAAGGTGGTTTTTAAAACAAGTCATACAGTACAGAGCCTTTTGGGAAGTCCAAAAGACAAAGTCGAGAATTCGGAAAAGTCTGGAATTTATGAAATTGAATGTAAAGACTGCGATGCAAAATATTATGGATAGAAAATAAGATCAAGGGAACACATAGCACACTTAAAATATGGAAGACCTGAAAAATCAGCAGTCGCCCATCATATTTTGCAAAAAAACCATTCCATAGACTTCAGTTCATTAAGATTAGTTAGACAAGTTAACAACAACAGGCAACTAGATGGCTTTGAGAGTGTAGGAATAAGTAAACACAATAATATTATGAATAACGATGACGGACCTATACCAAAGAGCATACTGTATAACTTGTTAAAATAAAATAAAATAATGTTGTTGGGTTTACTGATTACTACATAAGGACACATTGCAAAAATAAATTTGGATAGGCAATATTGTGAAATTCATTTTTATATAGCTGAAAATTGTTTTATATAAACATATATTGTAAAATAATAGATAAGGCAAAATTGTAAACCTAATTTAGGTTGGTATATTTGTATGGTTGGTACGCCTCGATGGTTTACTTGTATGGGTTACCTTTATAGCATAAATAGGATAAGCTCGCACTAGTTCCTAGTTTTAATTTTCCTCTTTGAAGATGATCACTTGGTGATCGAAACACGTGTCGAGCTGTTAAAAATAACGATTTGATGTTGGGAAAAAACTCCAGTAGTATTCATTACTACACCAAAGGTTCCAAACAGTGCAACATATCGTACATATCATTTGAAGAATATAAATGATTCTGTTGCCGCTCCAATAGGTATCTGATATCGAGCAATATAAAAAACAAATATTACAACAAATCAAAATCGAAACTGTTTCTGTGGGGTTTCAAAGATTGCCTAATGAATGCATTCATTTGGCAATCTGAATTTTCATGACAAGATGATTTCTGTACATAATAGATATGACTGAAGACAAATTGATTTATATACGAAGTAGACTGAGTAGAATGAGCTTTTTCTCACTCTGATTGTTTTTCCTTCAATCGGTTTTGAATGGAACTGGCCAATACTTTATAGAAATCCCTGCCAAAACTTATTGATTCTGCTCCTGCTGCTCCAAAATTTGGTGTGAGGGAGATTCATAAGGTATTCTGCTCGTAAAGAGATGATAAGTCGCTTGCTTGCTGCACTACCTAGATGCTTAGGTTTGTTAATAGAAACAAGAGTTGAAGAACTGAGCAATCTCACGTGGAGGATAATTAAGGTCGTTCAAGCGACATTTACTCCTCTCTAGACTCGGAATTGGATTCTACAGTTACTTCGTGCTCCATAAATTGGTTCACGATTAGCTAAAAGAAGAAGGTCCACCACAGCAGAGCATTACCGTGACAAGGTTATTTCTGAATTTCATCAGTTCGGACTTCCATTGTCTAATATGATACGAAATGACTTGAAATCTCTGAGACAAACAATACAATTGAAAATTGAAATCAATAGCCGAAAGTAACAATTATATTGAGAAAGTGGGAAATATCTGTAACCTGAAAACCTATTTACACGGGACAGTATCTGAACCACGAATCCAAGCACCATCAATCGACTGAAAGAGGAATCATCAAAATTCTAGTAGACCGTGTTTTCAGACTATTATTCAGAGTGATCTTCAACGGAATGGTTACTCCAAAGTGATGGTGAAACAGACTTTGGCTAGAAGACAGCAAGAGCCTCGCAAGGAAGAGAAGCCATCACAACCAGTGCTTGCTTTTTCCTTCATCAGAGGATTATCGGAAAGGATCCGTAGCAGCCTCTCGAAAACCAGGCTAGCAAACGCGGACTGTGCATTTACCGAATACCCTGTGAGTACGGCAAATCGTATATCAGTGAAACTAAGAAGCCGTTGAAACCCGGCGTTCACACAACAAACACACACAGCGATAAGAAACCTGCATATATGGAAGAGCAGAGCATGTTTGGACTCATGTATTTACATCTATTTTGAAATCTTCATCCCTGTCTAAACTGATTGTAAAAGTATCGTTATCTTCGAATAATACAGATAGTCTGGTATGTGCAGCCACATTATGGGGTAGGCCATTGATATAAATGAGGAACAGCAAATGCCTCAAGATTAAACCTTGAAGTACTTCCCTTTCAATTTGTAGAAATTGACTTTTTTATTTTTGCACTTCACTCGGTTGGTCAAATACGAAGATAACATTTATTGATAGCCATAGTAGCTCACTTTGTTCAACAAAGTTGAATGATTCATTGAATCGAAGGCACATGTGAGATCCAAATCACTTTATGTAAGATTCAAATCACTTTATATCATATTAGACAATGAAGATCCGAACTGATGAAATTCACAGTGAAACATTGTCAACCACCTTTTAACAAACACTATTTCTATGTCCTAAGGATGGATGTATGTCTCAGGGTGTGTGCATCCCTAGAATGAAGTGTATTTGGGAGGAGACTCACCTCCACATTCAGCAACAGTATTCTAATGTTTTCCGCTATATAAGTTCATTTTAGCCGATGAAACTAAAGGGTTTCTACAAAACAACAGCCTACTAAGCGGTTGATGGTGATGGAAAACCATACACCTATTCTTTTTTCATACAGTGAATAGGAAGATTACATCTGTTGGGCTGTGCTTTGAACATCTTCATGGCCCTGAGCAAAAAAAAACCCTGCGAAGAACTATCAATAACACTGATGGAAACTAACGAACATACTTTTTGAAACAAATAGGGATCATTTATATCGCAAATATTGTCCAGCATCTTCCTGAAGAATCACCATTCAGTTTCTCAGTTGGCAGCTGCATCTGAGCCAAGACTTGAAGTCGTTTGCTTAGACAGAGGATCCTCAGTACCTCCTCATTGCAACGCCCATGCATGGAAGCCTCTTTACATTGATCAAAGTACAACTGGAAGTGAGATCTCGTCTTCCAAGTACTCTTTAATTCCCTCGAGACCGGTGCCTCCACTTGGACCGGTTTATGATGCTGCTCCTACGAATATCCTTGATGAATTGAAGAGGCATCAAACTGTTTATTCATTACATGACGTTGCGTAACAACGACGGGCAGTTAATATCGATATGTATAGCAAACATTGCGGAATTATTCACAGAACTACAATTATTTATAAATATGAATGTGTTGACGGTTTCGCGTATTGAACGTTTGGTGGTGAACGATCGAAGTGCTTTCATCAACCGCGGTCGCGGATTTTTAACAGTTAAAGACGACAACGAAAGGTGAGTGAATCATTTGTATTTTTTTGTTGTATTGACAAGCGATGTCGCTGAAAAGTTATTTTCCAAATTGAATGTGAGGTGTGATCTATTTCGGACCAGGCCATAAAATAGAGAGAAAGAGAACTGTTAATAGCATTTATACTACTTTTGAGCTTTTTGAAAACAAATTTCATTGCATCTTCAATAAGGAGTAACTCTAGCCCGGATTACTGGATTTATTTTATACAAGATATTATTTTGAAGCGAAATAATCGAAAAAGGGTTCAATTGACCGACTATACTATACTATTGAAAACATCCTTTCATTGCTGTGTAAAATTCTACTATAGTTCAGTGAAAATAGTACATACTCAACCATTTTCTTTCCTGAAGTGATATGGATAATTGACGATCCGTATAGTTGGAATTCGGTAAATCTGAATTCTACTATACCCTAATCTAGTTTAATAAATCGCTGAGATCATTCACGCCGAAGGGCTTCGAATAAGATTAGTTATACAGAAACAAATATCAGACGGTTTCATTTCACAATTTGAAACAACAAAGAGAACTCATGAAGTTGGATTTCTTTCTCGCATTATATGTCATCTTTTCTTTAGAAACTCCATGGATTATCTTAGGCGGAATAGTACAAAGAGAACTATAAATAGGTATATGGTGTGATAAACAACATAAGTTTGAGTTCAAAAATCATCTCAACTTTTTGAGGTTAGAAAATATTGCTATCAATTTCATTCCTGTACAAAAAATATCTACTAAGGTGCATCTGTTGTTGAATCATGAATGCTCTGACTTTGGGCTCTGATTTGATCAGAATATAGTTGATAGCTAACACGTATTGCCATTCGTATTGAACTAAAGAAGTAAAGTTGATCTTTGATATTGTTGTGGTAATCATTGTTGAATTTCAAATTACACCCCAGCTGATTCATCTGATGTTATAACAGGACAAATTCCAGAACTTTTTCCAATTGATGAATTATTTTACCATAAGAAAATTCTAAATTTTCGCAGCACTCATAGCAACACCAGAAGTTGATGATGAAGCTTTCAGATGGGCATAGAAGGTTTCACTTTCGAAACTATGATACCTCTTCCAGATTTATTTGTGTTCTCAAGCTACTGTATACAGTGTGTCCAAGATAAGGATCCTAAGCATGGGAATCTCAGTACCTGTTGGAGATACAGCTTAGGTTAAATTAGGAAAAAGTTGTGTTCTTAAAAGCTTATTTACATGCCGTTTAGAAACTTGAAGAATTTTCATGGCCTGCTGAGATATTTGGGAAAAACGAGAATTTGACAATATCAATTNTTATTATTATTATTATTATATCAATTGCAAAGGAGGGTACTGCAAGTAGCTTCATCGAACCAGAACCTGTCATAGGCATTGCTTTAGGTTTTGCCAAACAAACATTGAAAACCTGGTTGGCAAGAAGATTTGAATGCTTCTAGCAAAATCTTCTAGGATTGGCTCACTCCAAGGCATTTATTCACCCTTCGAAGTTTGATACCAAACAGTTCTGTATCTGTAGAGTAGAAAGAGTGAGTGTAGGCCCACAGCACTTAGGCCACATGTGTCCCATCCTGTCCTTTCTAGGAAGGTGGACAGGTTTCTGGGAGACACCTCCTTTATATCGGCAGGTGTAGGCCAAGACTCGCCGAACACACCCTCTCTTATTGACGATAACTCCGGACATTCACATAGAACATGTCTGACAGTTTCATCTTTCTGTTCACACATCCTGCATAGAGGTGTGTCCTGCAGCTCCATATTGTGGAGGTGTTTCCTTGATTGTCAGTGGCAAGTCAGAAATCCTACTGTTGAGCGTAGATTTTTCCTGATCATCGTCAGATATTTCTGCGGCGCCAGCTTCCCAGGATCGTCAAGGTTGATCCTGGCAAGATTGCATCTTTTTATTTCTTCCCATCTCTTTAGGAATTGAGCATGTGTGTGACGTTTGGCAGTAGCTACTGGGTCCTAGAATTCTTAGTCCAGCCGCTTCCTTGGCTAAAAAATTAGCATTGCGAATACCTTCACTCCTGTCGTGTCCTTTAATCCACCTCAGGATAATGTTATTATCTACCGGGGCTTTGGCTAAATCTTGGTGGCACTCTAGTACCAGCCCTGAGGTAACACGTTGTCTGTTCAAGGCTAATAGGGCTCATCTGCTGTCAGTGCACATTGTTATGTTTTTGCCAGAAATTCCTTTCCTGTTTATTTTTTTGCGGCGATTGAGATACCAACCAGTTCTGTTTGAACCACGCTGGTATTTTTTCCCATTCTGGAGTACACTCCACATCCTGAGACTTCTTTGGTTTTTGAGCCGTCTGAATTTATGCGTGTTGCATTTGTAACATCTGACTCTTTAATCTGTTTTATTTGTATTTTGTAGGGTTTATTTAACACAAACCCGAGTTTAATTGATACCAAACAGTTGTTGGACTACAGTAGGGATGAACTACGATGTCTAACAGGCCTTCTTACAGGTCACTGTCATTTGTATCATCATATGCAGACTAGTACTGTCGGAAGACAGTGTGTGTCGCCTCTGTCTGGAAAATGAAGAAACAGCAGAGCATATACTTTGTGCCTGCCCCGCAGCAGACCGAATAAAGTTTTCAGAGATTGGTAGAGCCACATTTCTACCATCTACTAAATAGACCCACTCCGTTTTGACCTAACCTAACCTAACCTACTGTGTATCAAACTACATGTGGCAGTTTTTTATACCTTTTATACTGAAAATTATCATAAATCTTACTAGTCCTTTTTGTGGAATTTCATGTTGAGAAAACTTCTGAAAGTAGACTTTCCAAAATAAATTTTAGAAGTTTGTGGTGCAGTGCATGTGCATAAAAAATGAGTGTAGCAGAAAAGGTTGGTCCATATGTCAGTAATGGAAAAACAAAATTCCTTTGGAGTCAACGAATGTACTGTACCAAAAGGAAAATTACGAATCAATACGGGGTTGCTGAGAGAATCAATGTCCAGGTGACCGGAAAGTACAGAAGCATCATTGGTAGATACTATCAATATAGATACTACTAGATACTCATACTAGATACTACAAGATATCTACTAACGATGAAAAAATTCAGATTCAGTTTCTAAATATTGTTTCCCAAAGATATATTTTGAAACATTTGGAATATTTGTTCCTTTTACATATCCAGCAAATATTCTCTTCCTCCACAAAAAAGGGACAGAAAGAACACAAATACTGCATTGTCCATCTAAATGATCGAATCCATGTTGTGGAATTTCTTGACATTCTGGATCTCTGTGAAGCAAATTGGAAAAATATAATTCTGGATACAATCAATGGACTAGATAGATGGGTTGCTGAAATCATAGTTATTTGACCTTTGTAGAATGACGGATCAATCTCAGTTGAAAAAAATTTGAAGACTGTATGAGGAGCGCTAAGGATGAATGTCAGAGATGTTCAATTTCCATAGAAACTTCATGGAGCACTGTAGCAATAAAAGTTATTGAAAAACATTATAGATGTATTCGCATAATAGCTTTGAATGAACCACCTAAACCTATACAATGGATCTACGAGAGTGGTCCTAGAAGTACCTGGCCTGACCTAGAGATGGCAGTAGTTGTTTGAGAATTATCAATGTTACAGTAGTAAACAGTCTATCAAGCATATGTTTCAAGTTTGAAGACGCTGCGTTGTTTAATATTTGTTTGGCAACCATCAAAAGCGAATGTTTTTGATGAATTCGTGATAATGACGGAAATTGACCATCGTTATGTGGTGCAAAACTTTCATTTGAGAGGCCTCAGCCCAACCGTTATAAAATCTGAGCTGGATTATACTCTAGGTGAGTCTCTTCCGTTTAAATCGGCCGCATCTGGTTGAGAAAAAAATTTGTTTCATTAAGACAATGCACCAGCTCACAAATCCATTATCGCTACGACCAAAATTAAAGAATTGAAGTTTGAATTGCTACCTCGTGCTAACTCAATTCACACAGATCACCTCATGAACCACCTTATGCGCAAGATTTAGCCCCCTCGGATAATTTTCTGCTCCCAAACTTGGAATAATGGCTCAGTGGTAAAATATTTTCCAACAATGAAGAAGTGATGTCGGCAGTTAATGGCTATTTTGAGGAGCAAGACCGTTCTTATTATAAGAGTGTATGGAGCTGCGAAAAGATAATTTTGAAAAATTAATACATTTTCTCCAAAATTTTTGTTTTCTTTGTTGGGCTGGGACCAATTATGGAAACGCATCAGGAAGCGTTTATTTTGTTTGGATTGCGCTGAGTTTTTAATTCTAGAATACTGATTCAGAATTTTGTCACGTTTCCAAAAATCATATTTTTTAGCTACTCCAGTTGGTATCTGATCTGTTTTCTTTGGCTCACTTATCTCTTCTTTATCGAAAATAACTCAGTATATTTTTCAAACTGAGCGTTTCAACATTCAAGCAAAGTCACATTTTCTAATTCCTAGCAGCATTTTTTCAAATGTCGAAAAAATGATCAACTGATATTCCACAACATTTCGACATGGAAAAAGTCGTTCGACTTAAACTCCACGAACTGCCGCATAATTTTTCGGAGAATCCAACAGTGAATTTAATCACCCGCTATCGAGATTCAATAACGTGGGAAACAAAGGTATGATAATTTTAATTGAAGTATTACATCACGTCGAACATGTTCATGTATACAGGGTGAACACGAAAAGCTGGAACGGTACATCTGTTTGATATCTGCGATATCCTGTTCATGTGAAAGAATTTATTGATTGATGAATTTTGCCCCAGTATATCTAAAATATACATTCCAAACTAAGCTATGTAAAATAGGGCCAATATTTCTACTTAAGAAAATTTCAGGTGAATATTCAAACCTATGGATTCTGCACTGAGTGAATTTTCTATCTATGTTTTCAAACAGATTCTGAACCTTGTCGAATGGATGAACCTTTTTCTGTACCGTCATCAGAAATATGGGAACCATAAAAAAATGTTAACCTCGATCTTTCATAGCGAAATTTTGGCTTCGGCGAAAGAATGAGGACCATATTTCTGAATGTTGGACCACGGGTTACCCCTATTACCAAAATTGCTCTCTTTTTCAATGGAAACAAAAACTTTATGCTAGATTATCTTTTCAGAAAACTTTTTAGACGCTTTCAAATCAAATAGCTAGTCGTGCTATCATCATCAAGGTTCCACTCAAACTAAACGTATCATCCTCTTGTTTGTCCATCTAGGCGTTCCGAACGCCTGAGTGCAGTTTCCCCAGTAAGTAAATTTGCCTGTATTTGGGTTACACCAGGTAATATCCTTTGTGTTGGATTTTCTCTAGGTTTACTGTTTCTAGGAGTGTGTATTGTTTTGTGTAATATATCGAATGTTAGATCTTGGTGTGTTTTGATTTGTATTTATTCCTCGATGAGTGGATTATGATTGTTAAATTTATGGATGTTCTGGGAAAACTTACAGGTGAATTTTGTTGTATTGACTTTTATTTTGATCAGAACACTGCGATCATTCTCATTTAGTGAAAAGACGATTTTATTAGTTTTTGAGCTGTTGAGAATGAGACCATTTTGAAAACAATATGTTTGCATATTAGCAACTGCTTGATTGGCCTGACACGACAATCCCTCATAATCCAAGGACTTCAAAGTGAAGTTTCGTCGGCAAATTGCAGTGTACAATGTTGACGATTACTGTTGTTGAGGTCATGTACGAATGAGAAAAATAGCATAGATCCTAGGACGCTACACCGGTAGAAACAATACAGGTCCTAGAGTGGAAGATCTCAGCCTCTAGTTCATCCCCAACAGTTTGCATTCTGCAATTCAGATAAGATCTCAACCAATCCAGATATTATCCACGAATTCCTAAACCAAACAGCTCAAAAGAAAATCAACAGTGTCGAACAGTGACAAGTCGAATGGATCACACTTCTAGATTGGAAATGACTTCATTGACTAAATTAATCGTGGCATCCTGAATGGATTTGCCAATTTGGAAGCCATATTGACAGTCTGGGTTGATTTAATATTTCTTGCAAGAAGAGGAGTCTTCTTTAATAAATTTTCTTGAATATTATGGAAAATGCAGATAGTAACGCAATTTCTCTGTAATTGGAAACCGAGTGCTTGTAATTTGGGAATATACCTTCAACTAAGAAGATATTGATGAGGTATAATAGGAGTTCGATAAAATTTTCAACCACCTTGAACAAAAGGTTGCAAGGTACTTCATCGACGCCACTGGAAGTCTTAGAAAATATCGACTTCACTATCTCTAGTAGTTCTGTTTCATCCAGAGGATATAAGTGAGTTGGAGTTGATGTCACAGTCATTTACTTAAATAGGAGATGTTTCTTTGACTATATTTGAATTTAGATAAAACAGAGTGTGTGTAAGATATCGTCGAAATTTTCTTGTGGAGTTAGGGAGTTAGGAACAGTTGTCAACTGCTCCAGAGCCCATTCAGCAAACATACGTCGTTGTGTATGGTTGATACTCGTGGATCTACTATACAGCAAATAGTTTCCCTAAATTGTTGTCATTTCGTGAACAGTGCTGAAGGAATTGATATTTTTCTGATATGAAATTTTCAAAACGAGAGGTGCAAGGTGAAACTTGCTACATGAGCAGTTGAATAATCGAATGAAAATCTAGAAAGATGATGTCCTGACTGAATCAACTGACGTATCATATTTCCATACTGTTCAAAAACGTGGTTGTCATCGATAACGTACCAGCTCCATCAATATTTATAGAAATGCATTACACAAAGATGTTTACTTTGTAATTGAATATCTGAAGTTAAAGGCGTGATGTGGCAGCCGTTGAATATTCAACACAGTTTTTTCTGTGTCACGTCTCTGATGTTACATTCTTCATTGCTAATTGGGGTTAATTTGCAATATCGCCATACAAAGCATTCGGTAATTCGTATTCCACACGCGTCAAGACCATTATTCCATTATCTTCCGTATCAAGGTTAATTGTTGTTGTGACGAATGATGAATTGATACAGAATTGAAGACAGGTATCATTCTGCAATTATCTTTTGATAACATCAATTAGGTAAGAGTGGGCGATTGTAGCTACATTGTTCCGTTAGTATTCAAGTGTTATTTGTACAACAGACAACTAAAGAAGTTGTTTCGGAAGTACTTGTGGTGAGTTTAATTATGAAATTATAATTAGCTGTTTATGGAATAAACTGTGAAAGTTGGAAATGTGTTTGAAAAACAACGCGAATTTCCATTTTTCTAAAAAAATATTTAATCAATCATCAATTCATAATAATAATGATAATAATGATATCGTTTATTATGCATGAAGGATACATTTATACATAAAAGAAAAAGGGTTAGCCAAAGGCTGTATTCCACCCCTTTCAGCCACGTTTAAAAAATAGTCATCGGTTTCTTCAGGTCTAGTTTGTCCTCGTCCAAGTAGTTACTCCAGATACAGTTAATAATGATAATAAATCTTTATTTCCCGTTGACAGTTATAGTCTGGTTCACATGTACTCGATTTAGCTCTTTTTGGTGACATTTTTCATCCCATCCAAAAATTACGACCAAAGTGTCATTCGATTCGTAGTTTTGTCTAGAAAGTTTAAAGAAAAGTCCGAAAACGCGCCGATGAAAATTACAAAAGTTATGAACAATTAAGTGAAAAAAATGGGGCTTTAGTTTTTTCTTAATATCTCGGAAAATTTTCGATATTTTGGTATCATACACAAAGAGGAACATTGGTTTAGGAGGAAATTCAAAGAAGCCGCATACATGTTATCCAACAATGTATTCAGCCAAGCTAGCGTAGAGATACACAACATATTCATTTCATTTCAAGTTTTTTGCTTAATATACTTGTTTTTTCAGCTATTAATTCTTCAATTTTTATTTTTCTTCTTTAATTTTTAATTCTTATTTTTTTTATTTCTTTCAGGGATTTCAAATCATTTCATATAATCAGATAATGGAATTCCGAACTAATGAAACTCAGAAAAACTACAGACAAGTTTTTTCCTCATTAGTTTGCCCCTTCTGTATGCAAAGACATTCCGTCAAATATCTCTTCTGTGTGAATTGGCCCTAATACCAAGCGCGATTTCTGATTCATTTTTTGAAGACTTTTTTCTACTTCAATAATAGAGTCAATGAAAAACTATAACTATATTAAATGCTGTACCATTCCAATAGTACCGCCGGAATATTATTAGTATTGACTTTCATTTCTTTGACTAAACGAAGAGAAATGTGTAATTTGATTGAGTGGAAAGAAGTATTTGTAATAATGTTTGAATCATTTTTTCTGGGTAAGTTCTTAACCCTTTCACGTCTCGGAAATTCAAAGTAAGTCTCCTTCGGAAACGATGTTAATATTTTTTTGGTAATTTATTCCCATTCGTTCAAATAGTTGACGATTATTAAATACTTCCACCTAGTTATTGTTGTTACATTATAATTTAGCAGAGCAGGAGTATGAATTCTGTAACGTCATAGTTCTGGAAGTCATAATGAATGGAATTAAACTGCCCTCTCCCTTTAATTTTTTAACGGGTCAACTCAAAAAATTGAAATTTGGGGTAATTAAATCAATGCATGAATACTTTATTTTGAAGTGAAATTGATAGATGAATCTTTCAAGATGGCGACTGGTCGCCATCTGGGAAAAAATTTAATTGAAAGGGGGTCTTGTTACACATCTTTTTGAAGCTCCTGACGAATACTGCACAACCCTAGAATATGAAGTCAATATCTTCATCTGCTACAAAATGGCGGAACTTTTGATAATTGCCTGACATTTAACTACATTTACTTCGGGCAAAAATAAAGCATAATGTTGATGGTGAAACTGAGGAAGAAATACATATCAATCCCAACAGATTTTGGTCATTTATAAATAATAAACAAGGTAGCTCCAAAATATCACTAGTACTGAATTTTGAAGGTCAATTGCTGGAGGGGCTCTCTAATATCGTAAACGGTTTTGCCAATCGTTTCAAACAATCGTATACCGTTTCTTCCCCTTTTCAACCAAACTCTGATATTGATAATAATAACTTTCTTGAAAACGAAGTATACGAGGCACTAAAGTCGCCTAAAAAGACCACTGGTCCATATGACATTTCAGCTTTCTTCCTAAAAGAGTGTGCACTTGTGCTTGCTCGTCCTCTATCTATACTAATTAATATCTGCTTAAGATCGGCTACAATACCAAGGATCTGGAAATCATCAAAAGTCTGTCCCATTTTCAAGAAAGGAGATAGACGAGATATTTCAAATTATCGGCCCATCTCTATTATTTGCAACTTTGAGATTCTGCTGGATCGAGTTATACAGGGTGTCCCTGGACTTCCTCTTTTCCTCTCGGGAATGTATAGATGGGGTCAAAATATCACCAGTACTTCATATAACTTTTTTTTCCTAAAATCCTTCGTTACCAAGTAAGGGCCCTCGAAGTTACAAAATGAAAAATGTTTTTCTTTGATAACTTTTCAAGTGAATATTCAAAATCATCCAAATTTTGGTAATTGACTAAACAAATGAATTCCCTCGATGAGCTT